CCACAGGGGGGACTCGGGGCTGCTGCTTTGAAGAGTGGGACTGGTAGTTCATGCAGCAGGGTCTCACCTGGGTTAAAGTCACTCAGTTTATTTTCCTCTTGTATTAGCCTCTTCCTCCCCCATGTGGTCAAAATGAATTACTGCACAATAGCCTCGACTTCTGATGAGTCAGAAATACACATAACACTGTTTTATACAGATTCAGAAAAACCACACAATACATAGGCTATTTAGGTTTAACCTAAACCAGCTAGGTATATTATATATTTATAGACCTATAAACCTTTTGTCATACTACAATACGTACCCTGAACAAATGTATGCCAACATCAGGAGGCATGGTGACACAACTAGAAATAAAAAAAATGCTCCTCCAATATACCTGATGGGCTACATATAACGAATGTAAACTCAGATTAAACATCATTTGGATCAAGACTATTTGATTAATTGTTATAGTTCAAGACTATTGGCCATAATCATGTTTCACTGTGGAGATCAAAAGTTCTGATCAATTACAGACTTTATTTAGTCAATGTTTAATGTTGGATCTTAAAAGAAAGTAACATTTATGGTTGACCTCTTTGGTGGCAACTTGGGGCAACTAAAGTTAGTATTTTGATAAGTAATAATGTTGTGGTAATAGTTACTAATGGTTTTATTAAATCTTTCTTGATTTTTTGTGATATTTTATTAAACTTTGGAATTAAATGGTATTAATCACCCGAATATTATTATTGTTTCTCTCCGCTAGTAACTCCTTAGCTAACAAGATATCAGGCTGAATTGTTATAATAACGTCAGTGGTTAAATGTTTCTTAATAAATAATAATGCACTGATGTTTGCCTCTGGTCTCGGGCAAATTTCGCTTAATTTAAATCCGTCAGATTATTGGCAGTGTGAGTGTCTCCACTTTCCCAGGGCAAATAAAACGCATTTTTATGGACGAGGAAATGAAGACTAACTATAAAACTCCAAGATTGCTTCAAGTGGGCGTCTTGCTTCGTTTAAGAAGTCGGTAACACGAGGTTAACGCCTGTTGCACCATGAGGGGCTTTTCCAAAAAAGACCGAAAGACGGTGACACTTCCTTCGTATTGAACTTTGAAGCACAACTTCATCACGCCCATATACAGGGACTCAACTGTAAACGAGTTTATAGCTGCCGAGGCATTCACAGTGACCACTTCCTGGGAGATATAAGAGGAGAAGAAGCATTCTGGTAAGTAGACTGTCTTTTTAAGTATTTTTCCTAGAAACAAACAAACAGTAGGATATGAGACATTAGGGGAGGCAGATCAAACCTTTTTAAACTGTAAAACTAATTTGGACTAGAACTGAGCTGCGTCTGAAGATGGAAGTGAAATCTCACAAAATCTACCACTAAAACAAAAACGTACTTTTATTGTTTTGACACACCTTACATGTTTTTTTTTGTTGTTGCTGAAAACAATATTGACAAAACGGCTTAGTATTATGCAATACAATTTAACACAAGACTGCAGCCTACAAAATTACCTATACTCAGGGCCCCCGGGCCGCTATTTGCCCATCCCTGGTTTGGATAGTGCACTTTAGTCTAAGTTGTCTTGTGGGTCTTGTGACACACCTTACATGGTAAGGTTATATTGTCCTTTTTTGTTGTTACTGAAAACAATATTGACAAAACGGCTTAGTATTATTATGCAATACAATTTAACACAAGACTGCAGCCAACACAATTACCTATACTCAGGGCCCCCGGGCCGCCATTTGCCCATCCCTGGTTTAGATAGTTCACTTTATTCTAAGTTGTCTCAGTGGGTCTCAAACGTTTTGATCACAATTTATACAAACAAATATTTCCAAGGCACACCTTTATAATTATTAGGATAAATAAAAACAGGTTTGAAATCATATGTATACTATAGTACAGTAAACCAAAAATATCGTTTAGAACTGGAGATATACAAAATATAAATTAATAAATAAATCTTAACTGGTAAAATAAGATAAAAATGAACCACAAAAATAAAATAAGTTAGCCTACATTTATTTGTTATTGGCTATGGTAGGTTATTGGTTATGTTCACATACTTATTTGATTATTAAAATGCAAACCGATCTTTTTCATATGGGTGTTTAGAGTTGTACCCCCTAGTCTCTAGTAATTGGGCGCTCAAAGTGCACCAGATTGAAGCATTTTACTTTAAAATGTTAAAATCTACCAGGAGCAGACCTCCCTAGGATGTGACGTCCACCCCCCAATTGAAACATGTTCATACAATACTAAATACATTTGAAGCCTTTTTATATAATCTGTCCACCATGTCAATACGTTTATCTTTTTGTAGTGTATTGGTCTTTTGTAGAGGTGTTTCATTATCAGCTAAAATCTTGCCTAGGGCAGAAAATTAGTCAGAACCGGCCCTGGTGTCATCCCCACAGCATCCCCCATTTGAAACATGTTCCCACGGCTATGCCTATACTTGTTTCAACACTTCTCCAAAACTAGTTTTAACCAAAACAGTTGGTTTTTTATTTTGTATAAGACTTAGTTTTAGCTAGGTGTACCAAATAAACTGGCAAGTGTACATTTTCTGACAAAAAAACCCATCAGAATGCTTTACCTTGTGATAGGACATAACTATAGTGTGTTTTGTTTCCCACAGACGCACAGAGAGATGGCCTTCTCATCTGCAGAAAAAGTTGCCGTAACAGGGACCTCTGGTCTGGGCTCTTCGGCGGATAACAGCTCATTCTTCCTCGACTCTGAGTTTCGTTACATCCTGTTCCCAGTTGCATATGGCATCATCTTCATCCTGGGCCTCATTGCCAACCTCTACGTGCTGTTCGTCCTGCGATGCCTTCGCCAAGCCAAGGCCATGGGTGAAATCCGCATCTACATGACAAACCTGACCATCGCTGATCTCCTTTTCATCTGTGCACTTCCCTTTTGGATTGATTATTACAGTCGGCATGGTCACTGGGTTTACGCAGACTTCATGTGCCGGCTGACTGGCTCGTTGTTCTTCATCAACACCTACTGCTCCATCCTCTTCCTCGGGGCCATCAGTGTCAACCGATACTGGGCAGTGACCCGGCCTCTGGATGCGGCCTCTTCTGACCACAGACGACGTGGGATCATCGTGTGCGTTGTCATCTGGGCATTGACCATTGCGATGGCTATTCCCTTCCTGGCTTTTCCAGGGACCAAAACGGATGAGAATAACGTCAGTCGCTGTTTCGAGGGGTACCAGAATGAAACAGATTGGCAGAAGAGAACAGTGGCAGTCACTCATTTTGCAATAATTGGAATGTTTTTTGTTGTCTTTTTTCTGATCGTGGTGTGTAATTTTCTTATTGCTCGAGCGCTACTTTCTCAAGGTCCTCCTCAGTCAGAGTTGCGATCAACGGTTATATCGAGAAAGTCCACCATGACCATGTCTGCCTCAACTAAAAGGCCCAGAGGGGTGAAACGGAGAGCTCTGCAGATGTTGTTAGCAGTTGTGGGAGTGTTTGTTTTCAGCTTCCTGCCCCATCATGTAGTTCAAGGATTCTGGACACTTGCAGTCTTGCAGATCTCTGAGGGCTGGGGACACGTAGAGTGGGACACGAAAACTCTTCAGATGCTCAATGACGCCCATCAGATCACTTTGCTTCTTATGGGCCTCAACAGCATTTTGGATCCTGTAGTCTATTATTTTGCTACAAGAAGGTTTAGAGGGTTCATCATGGCCCATATGAAGAATATGATAAAGGGAGAGGGCTGCTCTCAGACGACCACCTCACTGATCTCCATGGACAGCAAACATTAGAACCAGAGACCAACAGCGAGCACCAACAGCCCGAAATGGATTGATTAAAAAGTGTTATATATTTTTACGAAGATGTAGATATCTCCTACTTGTTTTAAATACTTTCAGGACCTCAATGATTCATGATTTCAAAAACATAGTGTTTTTTTGCACCTCTGGATCAATAAGCAATTTTAAATTGTATGTATGTTTGGTTGCACACCCTTAAGTATTGAATGTTTTCTCACCAACATTATCTTGACGTTTTATTCACACAGGCTGTGGTCTGAATTTCACAAGTTCTACCGCTCTTCCTGTGTAGAATAAAAATATGAAAGCAGAAGTTTTGCAAGCAGAAGTACATTCTAATCAATCATGCCCTTGAGAATCTGCAGGAGGGTACTTTATCTCTGTAGTCTGTGAAATTAACTGATGTAGCACCAGACATGTTTTTAAATCCTCCAACAACAAGTTGTTGATCTGTTCTAAAACCAGTAAAGAAACCAAGAATGAATCCCACTGTGGCTCAGGAGATAAAGGTTGATTCCTGCCACCGACAGTCAACATGTTGAAGTGCAATTGACCATCTTCCTGTGATGAAATTGGCAGTGTGTCTAAAGGTTTTTGCTCATGATAAGCAGGTGGCACTCTTTATGGTAGCCTCCGCCACCAGTGTGTATATGAGTAGCATAATATCAGTAAAATATCATGTTGTTGTTGCAGATAAACACACAGTTTACAGTTTTCTTTTACTGTTCATAGACAAGTGAAATCCTTGATTGCGAAATAAGGGAACATAAGTAAAGCTTGAGCTACATTTCCCCTCTGGAATTCAATATTGTGACATAATATGTAAAACCTTTGATTCACTGTGACGAAGAAACCCAATGGCTATTATTTTTCACTGATCTTTTGTTCTATTGTGTATTTTATTTTGTATGTAGTGTATGCTAACCTGCTGTTGCTAAACAGATTTGTAAAGCATATTTTTCAGGAACAGCTTTGATGATCTAGTGGGGTACTATAAAGTGTTTGCAATGCTATTTTGAGCTTCCTAAAGGAAAATATGCTGTTTTTTACTCAATAAAGAGAATATTATTTTTGTAACATATTTTCTGTATCACGAGGGATTAAAAAAAATTAGAAACTCAGTGTCTGTCATATCAATATCTATCCGTTTTGATATACAAAACATTAATTAAAAAAAACAGTACATGCCGTTTGAGACACATACAAATGAAAGGTTTTATTGAAATCTGCTAAATACAGAGCAAACAAGAGCTTTCTTGTTGATTTGGGAATATTTTAACCAAGCCCGAATTCAGATTGTGGCAAATTATTTTTGTCTAAAAACATTAAATCAAACATTTATGGCAAACCTCATAATTCAGGTTGAAGGGTTTGCTGAGTTTTATTTGCAAATATCCTGTTCCATTGCGTATATCTCCACCTTCCAATGAATGATCATGAAAGACTTGAGTAATCATTCCCAGTCACATTGGTGAGGTCCAGATTATTGTAGTCATCGCCGGTGTAATTCATGTACACATCTCCGCTGCTTTCAGCTGGTGGAAAACCTCCCCTGGGGGGTAGAAACGTGATCAGACTTGAATAAATACAGTCTTCTGAGTCAGCTGTACATATGAACAAATTGCAAACTGTGGTAACTTACTTTGGAGACTTATCCGTTCCAGGGAAACCTTTAAGGAAACCAAGAACATAAAATAAATAAAATCATTCAGCTTAAAATATGACCCAGCAGGAAATGTTTTACGTTTTTTTTACCTTTAGCTGCAGTGTTTGAGGTGGTCTTCGTGGCAACAAGTCTTTGAAATCCGAGCCAAAAAAGTATACCAAAGAGGACGATCAAGGCCAGGAGAAAGAAGACAAAGGCAGCAATTCCTAACTTCTCAGCAACTGTTGTAGGTTGGGGAAACAGAAATGTGGGAGAAAGGCTTTGATTAAAGATAACAGCAAATTATGATTATCAGTTAAAAAGACAACAAAACTTTCTTTCTCCTTGCATGAAAACTTTTCTTGTTTCTGATTCAAATATGCATGGTCGCATAGGAACAAGAAATGTAAAACTGAAATTTGTATGTAGTTTTGTAGCTTCTAAATGCTCCATATTCACCAACTAGTTGCTAAATATTAGCGGATAACAACGTCTTGTTGCTGGCACTGCTGCCCACTGTGGCCAGAAACAGCTATGAGTATGTGAGCGTAAACCAAATTAGCCAATGAGCTGAATTATGCATTTAGGCTTTTAGAGCTGAAAGGTAGAGTCAAAACAGATCACCAACCTGTTGTATGAGTGGAGGTTATAGAGACGGTGTGCAATGAGCTCATTCTGCTAGATACTGTGTTGTTGGCAAAGCATTGGTAAACCCCACTCTGCTCTGGCCTGGTAAGTGTCAGATCCCTTGAGTTTCCTACTTCTTTTTTCCACTGTTTCCAGGACCAATTGACAGAGTCTGGTATGGTGGAAGGGCCACAGTACAGGTGGACTGTACGACCTTCTGTGACTGGGTAGTCTGGTGTGGCCACCAGCTGCAGAGAAGGAAGATGTCCTGGAGAGGAATACAAGTGAGTTTGACACAGAATGATGGATGATGAAAGGATGAAGGAGCGAGTAAATCAAACAGTTTCTGACAGAATATATTGACATTACGATGTCTTTTTGTTGGTCGGTCCATTAACCACTGAGGTAAAAACTGAAAATACCTAAAGAAATATTGGATGAATTGCTATGAAATTCTGTAAAGACATTCATGTTCCCAGCCCAGAGGATGAGCCCTGATGACTCTTGGCAATCCTATAACCTTTTATATACTGTAGTGCCATCATCAGGTCAACGTATCGATGCCCAATACTTTCCTTAATGACCGACTAGATGCAGGATTAATGAGATCCTTCTCACACTCATATGTACTTTGTGTTTAGTATTAATGAACAAATGTGAAATATCTCCCTTTATTCTGGAAGTACATTTCTTATTACTTTTTCCAATAGAGGATTTTGAGTGACTTACAGTGGGAGCTTTTCTACAGATTTGATCACAATTCTCCTGTTAAGTAAGTACAAAAGATAAGAAAATGTCTGTTTAAAATATCTGGTTCTTTGATTGAAAGTACAAGCCTGTGTTTAAAAAAATTAGGTTAACATGAACTAAGACTCCCAAATAGCTTAAAATGAAGTTACATGTGCTGTTAATGGCAAGTGGAAGCTAAAGATTATGCTTTTGAGAAACTGCAGATTTTATTAATTTCATTTTCTGGCACAGTGTTATATTCTCAACTGTAATAACAAAGCTTTTTGGATCCGCAATCATTTTGATCCACACTTCTGACTGGTCTTTTCATGATAGGCAATGGCTATAATTAAGTAGGAAACATAATATCTTAGTGACAAAATAATACATTTTGGTGGCCACGACATTAACCTATATCATTGTTGCACAATTCAGGGTACTAATTTGTTTCAGTGTTCAGTAGGCTACCATTGAGCTTAAAATAAAAAATACATGGGAATACAGAATGGATAAAAAACATTTCCAGAAGTAGAAGACGTTTTCAGCTATTAATAATGTGCATGTTAGCATGTAGCTCAAAACACTCCTCTGTACTGTGCAGCAGTGTACATCCTAACGTGGCTGTTCAACTTTCTTTAAACATTTTTGTTTGATTGGAATATCTGTCCAAGGCTTACCTTCTGTGGTCATTGTAGGTGTAGACGTTTCCAAGGAAGTCGTTATAGCAGTTGTTGTTGTGGGCCATTCTGTAGTCGTGGATTGTTCTGTAAAGACAAAAAGAAGCACAAAAAACTGCTGAGATTATATTTGAAACCCATACCCTGTATTCTATTATTACATTCCTTAATAGAAATGAGCTTACCTGTGCCCTCACAGAAAAATAACAGGAGAAAAAAGGTACACAGCATGTTGTTTTGAGATAAACTAAAAGCAAATGCTACAATCACTTCAGGCAAACAGGTACAAGAATGAATCAAATGTTATAATTGAAGAACAGGTGAGAATGGAGGAAGTATAAGACCAGGAAACTGAAATAAAGGGAAGTTAGAAGTTCCTTTTACATATACTCAACAAAACAACTGTGCAAACACAATGAATATCTCTCCCCAATCTGATACACAGGCTATCAGTGTGCACTTCTCCTATCCGTTGTTATTTAAAAATATTGGTACTACATTTAAACAATAGACACATGTTGCATACGAAGCAGAAAGAAAAACTTAAAAAAGGACACACAAAACTATTAATACATAAAAAACGTTTCATGTATTGCCACAATCAGGGTAAAATAACCGCCCAAATCTTTGCTTTATGACCAAGAACCTGCAAAATCAAACACATTCCAATGAGACTAATCTGTACTAACTGATGCTCCGGAAACACATTTTCCATACATTTTTCCATAGTTATTGTCATGTTGCTTGCTCTTCTACTGCTTCGTAAAGCATGACACAGGTCATATTAAATCTTCAGTTTAAGATAATAAATGACTTTATGGCTATTTTGTTTTTGGTATTTTGGTTAATCGACAAAAAGTAGAGGCCTGTTTTCAGCAAAGTTTGTGGCGGCGGTAGACATAAACTAAGACTAAATTGATGTTACATGTTCAACTTGAGGGTGAGAAGATTATAAAGATGATGCTGTTGAGAAAACACAAAGCTTTAATTTCATCACAATTACATTTTGGGTTTGTTCATGTTAAATTCAGAATAAAAATCCTTCCTATCCACACTTTTGACTCTCTTTTTTCCCCCTATGGCAATGGCTGGCGAGGTATATGCCACAAATGACTACAAAACATAATTTGAATGGCTGCCCTTGACATTATCCTATATAATTGTTACATAATTAAGGGGACTACTTTGTTTTTACCTCATCAGTAGGCTACCATTGAGCATATTGTTTAAAGATAAGGTTAAAATGGGAACACAAAAACGTTTCCAGAACCAAGAGGCCCTTCCCCCTAATACATATTTGTAGGTAAGAATGCTCAAAACACTGATGTGTACTGTACATGACATTAGGGTTATGGAGCTATAAGCGTGGCTGTTCAACTTGCTTTCCATAATTGTATTTTGTTGGAATAACTGTACAAGGCCTACCCTCTGTGGTCATTCTAGTAGAAGTTTCCAAGGAAGTCATTGTAGGCAGTGGTATCTGGGATTTTACTGTACCTTCTGTGGTCATTCTAGGTGTAGACGTTTCCAAGGAGGTCGTTATAGCAGCTGTTGTTGTGGGCCATTCTGTAGTCGTGGTCCTTAATTCCTTAATAGGAATGAGCTTACCTGTGCTCTCACACAAAAAGAACAGGAGAAAAAAAGTACGCAGCATGTTGTTTTGAGATTAACTAAAAGTAATATGTGACACACTCACTTCAGGCAAACAGGTACAAGAATGAATCAGATGTTTAAATTAAAGCACTCAAAATTAAATAAAAGGAAGTCAGTGTGTCCACCTCCTATACCAATGGCAATTAAGTGATAGACCACAAAGGAAGCAGTGAAAACAAACTCAAAATAGGACAGGAAAACTATTATAACATAAGAAACACAGGACAATAGCTTAATCAAACTTAACACAAATACAAATGAGCATAAACAGAATCATAATCAAACCTTATCCCACCCATGAAAGCATTTAGTATGTAACATTTTAAATCTGTCAATCAACTTAAGACCTGCAGGTAAAACAGTTAACCAAACTCCACAGAACTTTTAATGGTGTTTTGAAAATTCTGAGCTGGAGGGCAAGTCTATCAGACTCTCAACACACTTGGCTCTTAACATTTCATATCTGCGACAGTGGTCACCTTCAGGCTCAGGCGGTGATGACAGCTAAGATTGTCGCTGTTCGACAGTTTGACACCAGACCTCTCACCTGAGGCTAACACTCACTGGCTGCCAGAGCCGGTTAGGAGAAACATTTCTATGATTCTGCGAAAAGCACAGGAATAGTCATGGTTTAGTTTTATTACACTCATTACATTGTTTGGTGGTTCTTTTTACACTCATACTGACATATTGGCCACTTTGAGGACAATTTATGAGCAAAATATGTGTTTTTTTGGAGGCTCAATCTAACTATAACCACTAAATGCTGATGCCCAATCTCAACAACACTCTTAACTAGAGAATGCAATTCCTGAAGAAATTGCTAGTGGGAATGCTTTACGCTGAAAAGCTGACGCTAAACTGCTATGCTGAAATGTAATGTGTAAGAAGAAAGTGAGTAATTTAGATTGAAATGATACATGAATGAAAATAAAGTAAATAGGCTTGGAAAAGCAGCAGAATATTTGAACTGCAAACTTTTGAACTATCTGTCGCCATGCCAACGGCATTTGATGACATCCCATAATACGGTTAGATGCGTTGATGGCTGCATCGTTACCAAACCTGTGAAGTTTTGGGCCGTTTGGAGCATTTTCACTGAAGTTATGAGAAAACCGTGTTTCATGGTGAGCATTGTGTTGCCATGGCAATGACATTTGAAGAAATCTCAAAACTGTCCCGTAGATGTCTTCACGGCTGGACTGTTAGCACACATGTGAAGTTAGAGCACTTTTTGAACATTTTCATAGGAATTATAGCGACATCGTCCTTTATGGCGAGGGATGCGTTTCCATGGAAACGGCATATGATGACACCCCATTATTGACGTAGAGCTAATGAGGGCTGGACCGTTAACCATTATCTGAAGTCTGGTACTGTGAGCATGTCAGTTGGAGTTATGACATCATCGTGTTCCATGACACAGGTGTTTATATTTGAGCTAACGAGATCCAGATATCAAAGGTTTCCATGGTGATATAATAATAATAAAGAATTTTGTGCATAGCATAACAGATAGTTGGAATGCTGTGTCAGCATTCCCACTAAATAACCTACACATGAACATACTAGAACCAAAACCAGGGATTGACATTAAATATTTAGAAATTCACATATTTTCTTGTCAAAGACTTACATAACATAATGTGGGAAGCTTCCCCATTATGTAGGAATTATATAAATAATTCAAATAAATGTGGCAAAGGCTCAAATTTGTTGAACAACACATTTGTAACAGGTTTGTTAATTGACCAAAACATATGAACAGTTGGAAGATTGAAAATGTGATTATTATTAGAATTATTTGTAGGTCATTGAAAAGTAGAATAATTTAGAAAGATGAAAATATTGAAGTTTCTATTTTAGAAAAGCTGACACTGTAGTGCAGGGGTGCCCAACTTTTTTTGAACCGAGAGCTACTTTTAAAGTTGCCAGTCTGCCGAGATCTACCAGTCCAAGCGTCCAGGCGTAGCCATTACTGACAGCCTACTACCAGGTAAATACACACTTCTACTTGTGTAAAACTGAGTAGTGTTGCTACAAAAGTATAAATTAGGCTTACTAATAAGACAACTCAGATCTGAAGCTACACAGGAATCTGCTGCCAAAGTGCAATAAAAAAGACAAAATTAATAGAATCAAACCCTTTTTTTGTTGCATTTAGTAGAGTATAAAAATAAATGCCTTTTAAAATAGGATGCAAGCAACACTAGTTTCTTAACTTAACCTGAATTGATAATAGACTATAACCTTTATCTTTATCTTATACCATTTTGTACAATAATTATAATGAATAAGTTCAAACAAACAAAAACTTACAGCTGATTAATAACGGTATCTAACTTGAGTTTTTATTATATCAAAAACCTGTTGAAATGCTACTGTTATTTTTACTGTCCCCAAAAAGCGCGTCGGCAGCCTCCAGGAATGCTTCTTTCACAACTTCGCCGTCTTTGAAAGACTCTGGCCTGGCGCCACGAGGGGGCAAAAGGGGGCATTGCCCCCTAAGTTGTTTTATTTGCCCCCTCACTTTGGGCATCATTCAGCCATCGAAAAGTTAAATAAATGTCACAATTATTAAATAACTTTAAATAATTATTTTCCCCAACACACGTTACTATATTTAGATCAGATATGTGGGCAGGCAGTCAAACAACGTGTAAACAAGCCTCAACCCCAAGTGAGCTTGTAGTCTTAATTAATGTTAGCATGTGTGCTTAGCTGTAAACACAGTCGGATGGGGGACCAAAACGTCTCTGTTTTCCGGGCAAAGTCCCCATTTTCGGAATGTGCGTTAAAAAACATAGAGCAAGGTGAAATAAAATGTTACATGTCAGTAAAAACAGAGTAACAGTGTTGTGCCTGTTTGTAGCGTTAGTGTATTTATTTTTCTAATACTTCTTCTTCTACCTCTACTTCTTCTTCTTCCTCTACTTCTTCTTCTTCCTCTACTTCTTCTTCTTCTTCCTCTACTTCTTCTTCTTCTTCCTCTACTTCTTCTTCTTCTACCTCTACTTCTTCTTCCTCTACTTCTTCTTCTTCCTCTACTTCTTCTTCTTCTTCCTCTACTTCTTCTTCTTCTACCTCTACTTATTTTTCTTCTACCTCTACTTCTTCTTCTTCTACCCATGGATGTATAATAAGAAGCTTCTAATTCAATGTACCTTCCCGCAAAATATTGGACAAAAGAAAGTCGGCTAGTAGTGTCAACTAAATCTATAGTATTAGAACAAAAGTGATTTAAACGAGGTAAATTACGAATGTATGTTCTCAATCGCCAAGTGTGGGATTGAATATTAAATTAGTTTAGATTAGATTTATTGTCCCCAGGGGGAAATTCATTTCCACAGCTCTGTGAAAACAAGATGAAATCGACAAAAAATAAGACAACTACAGATAGCACCACACATGATGCTTACCTGTTATCAGGGCCGGACTGGGACAATAAGTCAGGCCGGGAATTATACACCCAACCAGGCCCCTACCAGTTTTATTTTGTGTAATTTTCCTGGATTTATTTGTCAATATTTACAGCGTTGCTGCCCATAGTGATAGCCATAAACTTTAAAACTACCCCAGAATAAACATATGGACATGGGTTACTATAAAAAGTGCAAATCTATTTAGGAACCTATCCATGTGAACATATTTTAAGTGGAGGTGGACCTCAAATCCTCTAGGGGGGGGGGCATGCTCCCCGCGGAAGATTTTTTTTTTTAAATGTTGGACTTAAATGCATCAATCTGGTGCACTTTGAGGGGGAAATAAAGAGACTACACCCATATGAAACAGAACTGTATACATTTAAATAATCATAAAATCATAAGAACATGGCCATAACCAATAACATACCATATCCAATATGAAAAAACATTGAAACTTGTTTATTTATTTGTTTTTGGTTCATTTATAGTTAGCATGGCATAGTGTGTCTGGGCTCCTGAACCAGCCTCTCCTGTCTCCCCCTTCTCCCCTGCTCCTCTTTGAGGCAGCAGCAAAGACTAGTTTTAGCTCTCAACAAGTTTTTAAAGTTTATCTTACATTTTTTCACCTAGATAACTTTTTTTTTGTATTATTCATGCATATTTTACTAATCACTCCCCCTTAAATGGAAATATGTGTTTACATAAATGGTGACCAAACCGTTTGAGACCCACAGTGAACTTAGACTAAGTTAACTATCTAAACACTCAGAGTCTTTTACCTCACCTGAGCTGTAGTAATCTACGGAGCCCCCTAGGGGACATGGAGAAGAAAAAAAATAATAATTTGAACAGAAAAAAAATAAAATATGTTTTGCGAGATCTCGCAATACTTTTGCGAGATCTCGCAAAACCCCTTTGCGAGATCTCGCAAAACCCCTTTGCGAGATCTCGCAATACTTTTCATTTAGTACTTCCTGGTCAGTTGCTGCGGCAACACAGAAACCACAACAATGGAGTGGTTCATCGATTTTACTTTGAACTTGGCCTTAAATATAAAGATATAACATCAGTGCTTGGCAATAGGCACGGGTTTCACACATAGACTGTATATATAAAGGGTTTCACATAAGTGAAGACACCTCAAGAAAACACTCAGAGCGAGGGGACATGCACGTTCCTCTGAGCTGAGTTATTGACAGATTCGAATTTCGCGGATCAATAACTCATGAACATAACGTTGTAAAAATACAAACAACATGACTTTACAATCATAGCAAGGTAGACAACGAGCTACAGAGTCGTTTTTATCAGAACAGTTCGATACGCGCCGTCATCCGAGCTAAACATCAATAATTTGTCACAATCCGCAGCTGGAGGAGGGAGAGGAGTGCTTAGGGACCGTCTACAAACTGCAACGGGGTTTTGCGAGATCTCGCAAAGGGGTTTTGCGATATCTCGCAAAGGTTTTGCGAGATCTCGCAAAAGTATTGCGAGATCTCGCAAAGGTTTTGCGATATCTCGCAAAACATTTTATTTTTATTTTTTTTCAAATACATTTTGTTTTCTTCTCCATGTCCCCTAGGGGGCTCCGTAGTAATCAGTCTCTCAGTCTGACAGGAGAGGACTCTCCTCCACCTTGTTGACAGCTCATTCCGTTAGCGCCGCTAGCTAGCACCGGATGCTAACAACAACAATACATGTAACCAGTGCACGCGCTTTCTCTCTCGCTTGCTCGCGCCACACATACACACCCTCCCGAGCTTGAATGACACGAGACCAATCGAGGGCATTAGTGTATGATCTGTATGAAAGTGGCCATGTCGGCAGGCCACATCATGTAGACAGCCAGTCACCCTCTGTGAGGCAGAGTCAGACCCACATTTGCGCAGCGCTGCGTTCACAATACATAAAATCCCTCAGGCCAGCAGGCCACTTAGCAGGCCAGGCCATCGGGAAACCTCCCGGTCCTCCCGATGGCCAGTCCAGGCCTGCCTGTTATTATTTAGGGCTGCCTGTATGGATCAGGTTTTTGCCAAAGCGAGCCCTTTTACTATAATAATAATAATATGTTATTATATAAACCGTATTGGTACAATGAGCGACATCTAGTGACGGATTTTTAATCTGTGTCTGTCCATTTGGTGTAGTATTTGATCCAATATTACATTTGGTTTATATATTAGTCACTTTCTTATGGAATGCCAGGTTTTAGGTCTTGATTTGAACATTCAATCCTGAAAATAAAAAATCAACCAGATTAATTTGTCTTTAATCCTGACATGACTAGAGTAGATAGTAAGTAGCCTAAGTAAATCTGTATAGGAAGACGAGTTAAGGGATAGAGGAGAAAAGGTTATGGTATAATTACAGAGCCTGTCCATTTATAAATTGAGGAAATCAATGTTAGTCTGTTAACGTCACTAACAAAGTGCAGGCATCTAATAATGTACTATTTATTATTAAAGATCAGAGGAAAATAACAG